ACTTTGTAATTTATAATTATTCAATATACTTTATATTATATTATAATCAAAATATAACTTTTGGGATCAGAATAATATATAGTTTTTGAAACCAAAATGATATATGATTTTTAAGATTAGAATAATATATGATTTTTAAGATTAGAATATCAAATCATTTTGAAATCAGAATATCAAATCAATTTAAAATTAAAATATTATATATTTTTGAAACCAAAATATCAATTTTTTATTCAAATCAAATTAAGATTAGGATAATAATATTACCAAAAAAAGTTGAGATTGAAATATCAAAAATACTAATTAAGATTATTTTGATTATATTCCTGATATTTGAGGTATTAATATATGGAATGATGCTATATGGGATTATTACCGTTTTTTATATAGACGTTAAAAAAGAAAGCAAACTTCAATCGGTAAATCAACATCTGACTAGCGCTTCGACTTTTGTTTATTAGATATCTACCTAGTCCAATTCATTTACGACATATAATTCTATTCCATATAATCATAAATATCTACCGTATGCACCTGCTACATAAACAACATTCGCTGCTTTTACAACGCTGTTCTGATAGGTATTCATAGTGACATAGTCTATTAGAGTTCTCGCTTTGATACGTTAGGTCGTTCAATTGTCAGATGCATTCATTTGACAGGCTCGCAAGTGGATTCGTAAGACCTGCCAGGTACGCTGGTACAGCTGTAAACAAAAAGAATGGTGATACATGGCTGACATCGATTATTAGTGAAAAGTCGCACCAGAGCAGCCCGGTATTACACCGAGATTCTTGTTCGGAAAACATAAACCTCACAATGATTGCAAACTATGTTTTCACACCATTGCCAGACGGTTGTCGCACACTTCGACTGAAAGCAATATTCCCAGATCTTGAAAATGCTGCTCAGCTCTCTTTCGCGTTCAAAAAATGAGGATATATCGAACAGCCAGGATGAAAGTTTAGCCAACTCACAACCATCCGCTTTCATCCATGGAGAAGGAAAGAAGGTTTCTAAACGTAAGAGAGAATGTTTGACAACTTCAAATGCATGCAACCGTTGTAAAGTAGCCCGATCAAAGGTATATAGTCTGCAGCATTGGAAGAGCGAAAGTACTACAGGCCAAAGTTTAGTTTACTGACAGTTTCGTTCAGTGTAATGGCGAGCAGCCTTGTGGTCGTTGCATCAAAAAACTCCAAGCTGGAGAATGCTTCTATGAAACTCATACCAAAATTGCAAAGGAGAAACTAGTCGAATCACTCAAAGAGAGCCATGCAATCAACCGCATGGCAGAACGGGTGTTTGAAAGCCTTGCAGCAGCGGATGATGAACGCGAAATCCTTAATCGGATAAGGAACAGGGACTCTATTCAAGATATAGCACAATGGCTAGGAACCACTGTCGATGTCAAAGAGCAGCTACCTACGTTACAAGTTATTGACAATGAAGTTGATGGTCTAGAGACATCACGTTTCCATTGGACAGCAGTAACGGCAGATAAAGAAATTCTTCATCACTTATTCTCCTTGTATTTTACTTGGGTTCACCCTTCTCATTCCTTATTCAATGAGCAGCATTTTGTGGATAGCATGCAGAATAATTCCAATGAATTCTGCTCGCCCCTTCTGTTTAATGCTATCTGCACTATGGCATGCTATTTGCATACAGTCTTGGAAGGCGATAAGACGAATTACAAGGAGCTAGGCCAGAGATTTGCTGATGTGGTAAAGAACAACATCGATGCCGAAGACATGAGTCTCATGACTATACAGGCTTTCGCAATTCTCTTCTTGATAGACAGTGCACAAGGATATGGGATGCATGCTTCAGCATACTTGGAAGTTGCAAGTAACTCATTAATGAATTTGGAACATGTCGGCCTTGGCAGTGAGGCGTACCGGCAAGTTTGGAGCGATACCGTTGTTGGCATTAATAACTTAAATATGTAAGTTGATGACTTTCCAACAATTCACCCCAATTGAGCATGTATGTCACCATAACTAACAGTTTTAGTGAGTGGGCTCAGGTAACGTTCAGGATGCCAGCGGCTCTCATTGTAGAGGTTCCTGCAACGAAGTCCATCGAGGAAATCCAAAAAAACGAAGCCGAAATCGATAGTATGATGTGGGGAATGTATAAATACCCCCCCAAAGATGATGATATTGTCACGAAAGGCCACTGCCTCATTGCAACAACTAACCGAGAGAAAATGAATCTTATGGCCATAATTCGGACTACTAATATTTTGATGTACAATACCGACAGTTCTCGAATAGCGGCCTCAGACATTCTGCATCTCTACGGCAAATTGGTAACTTGGCGTAAATTCCTGCCAAGTATCATTAGTAAGACGGATGGTAAAGATACGCAGATATTACCACACGTGCTTTCGCTTCAGTAAGATTCAACGACTTCCTAATACAATTTCACACTCACTAAAAAATCAGTTTGTTATACGCTACAGCTGTTGTCCAGCTCCTCTATCCACTTCTGAACCTCGGACTGTTCGATACCTCTTATCTAAGTTCAATCGTTTGGCAACATGCACAACAAGGTCTTGCTGTTGTTGATAGCTATCGTGCTCACTGTAGTTGTGCCTACCAGCCTGTCTTACAAGTATTCGCTATACTGAACCTGACAGATGTCATCGTTCGATTTTCCCCCAAGATCAGCAAAGAACTGGGAAAAGATGAAGAAGAGGCTGTTAAACTTGCTACAGAGGTATTGAAGCAATCACTGTTAAATTTCCCTGTAGCTGCAATATTTACGGAAAAGTTTCGGGCAATCACCATGAAGATCTTGTTTCCTTGGCCAAGCAATTTCGATAATCTCTTATATCACAAGAGAAGTAAACCAAGGTCACTTTTGGATGGAGTCATTGATACTTGTACCAGGTCCACCTATATTCAGCCTATCGATTCTATACAGAAAAGATTTGCGACAGGTATGCAATCGAACTGGTCGATATTGTCCTCCGGGTTAGGCTTTGTAGAGCCTTCTCAAAATGCCTCTACACTGCGTCAGCCGCTCGAGAAAAGAGCTATGCAAAGTCTTCATTATATACTTAATTTCCCAATTAAGGGATTAAGCAAACCATGATAAAATATTTCAATTCTGAAAAGCATGGGTTGAATCTATTTTTAAGAATGGAGGTCACAAAGTTTGTTGATATGGTTTCTGGGTAAGAACGTCTACTGTCTGGTATTAAACTGCACATCACCCAAAGGAACAGAAGAAAGCACAAAAATAAAAACACAGCGAAGTATACGAATCGCAAATTAGGCATATGGCTTGTCTTGTATTTTAAGATCTCTAATCAGATTAAGAGGCAGATCGATGATGATCTCTTTTTTTTGTCAGGATTATGAATACGCATTTCGTCAGATGATCTTTCTCCCCTTCAGTCCCTATTGATGGTGGCATTATATTTATTCTATCTCCCTCATTGAACCCTAGATTCTTTTCTCAATATCCTTTCATAGAGCGACGCATTTGCCCACTTACACCGATCAAATTCATCGTTAAGTCTGTAATCAAGCTATCTAATGAAGACTCCTGTGCTTTGGAAGTCCAAAATGTACAGAAATCCCCAAATCTATGCCCTGTCTCCCGTCCATTCCTTACCGCTGCCATAAATTCTCCAATCTACATCTTCTTCTAATCCTGAATACCACTCCCTATACAAATATCCTTCTTCAGCTGTTCCAATACTTCCTTTTCACTCTCCGCACACACCAAAAGCATTATTCCTTTGATCCGCGGCTGCTCGCTCGTCATTACATTATCTAAATCAAAAAACGTACCACCAGACAGAACAGTTTCTAATTCAATGAAAAGTTTGATACCAGAAATATAATAGAGGTACACTTCGAAATAATCTTGAACTCCAAGATGATCTGGAATAAGGACGAGCCAATCGTGTTTTATTAAGATCGTTGTAGAGAACAACTTTTTGGATATATTACTTTGCTAGTACTTTGGATTATAACTTTGAGAATGAGAAAAGAAAGCAAAGTCTTGCAAGACTATTTTATATTCCGGCCAGAAAGAATTAATCTTGCATATTTCGGTCAGAAAGAAAGATAAGAATCGCGCCGTCTAAGAGAACGGAAAAGCCAATACTTATCTGCACTTACATGGCACGAATATCCTTCGGCAGAAATCATTAGTAGTACTGACAAACTGTTGGAAGCGGGGGCATCTTTCACTTAAATTGTTGCGCAAAACAGTGGTCTGAAATGGTGGATTTTGATACATGTGTTCAGATGAAATTCATTTCATCTGAATAAACCCTAGATCTTATCTTATACTGGGATCTCGAATTACCTCTTTAATATCGTATTCGAAAGTTCCATTTGTATTCCTATTTCGTGACTACAAGACATATGGAGATACTCTGAGAATATCGCGAAAATTCGGTTATTTCATTCTAAGCAGCGTGGCGGTTATTGCCACACAACATCAACACATTGCGATTATCCTTAGCTCGCTACCAAGAAATACTCGATTGAAGTAGACTGGTAAAGCTACGCGAGTGCAGTTCCCACTAGACTCAGTATACATAGTTTGAAGTTTTATACTATTGTTTACATGGCAAGCTTGTGTGTCACCTCGTGATTGGAATGGGGGGACAATCTTTTAGTACCGATCATGCGAGTCATCTAACTAGCCTTCAAGGATCATGTATAAAGTTCCTACAAATATCTCTGTTCTTCTTTGTAACATCGCATTTTCATAACAGGGAGTTTCAGAACCTCCGCAATCATTCTTAGCACCTTAAATGTTCTCTTCATTGTCCTGAAGAACCTCGCCGCGCATTTCCATGCAGACCTATCCGGAAAGCCTGGATCAAAACTACCCCAGACGAATGTCTCAATTTTATCGACCTTGTCTTGGGTGCTCAAGCCTTCAACGTTGCCTTCGATATATGCATTCTAACACTCCCAATAAATGCTGTTTATAAGCTTCAACTTTCGATTCGCAAGAGGATAGGTGTGATGGCAATCTTTGCAGTCGGTGCATTGTAAGTCACTCTATCTGTCATATATTTTGTGGTCCGGGTTAACCGTTGATAAAGTACTATAATCATCGCAATTATCCGTCTTGCTGTTATCTCGAGCGAAGTATTGGAATACGGCCCAACTTTGCCAGACGTCACTTGTGAGTTACACATCTGCAAACCTATCAATTAGCTGTCACTGACCTGGCTTTACAGGGTCGCAAGCAAGTTCTCATGGACGGTAATAGATCCTGCCGTAGGCTGCTTTGTGGCATGTATGCCGACCTATTCACCACTTGTCAAGCCTCTGAGACATGTTCAGGATTACGTGAGTCTAGTGAGCGTATCTTGGACTCGTTCATCTAATGCTAGCTGGAAAGGAACAAACAAAATCGAAGATAGCAATGCGGATAACTTCTATCTTGCAAATTACAAACCGGCTGGCACAAGAGAAGTAACAGTGGCCAGGAAATCCTCAAGCATCAACTCTCGACAAGAACTCCATCTTGTTCCTGGAACCGTAACAGTGAAGAATGATTTCACTCGGGAAGACCATAGGGAGGATAGCTGGTGAATCTACCACCCGGTCATTGCTGCATAATACACTGTATAGTGACTGTAGCATACCGACAATCTGTGTCTTTGTAGGAAACATTTTTGAAATCGCCAGGATGATAGATGGGAAAATTGAAGAAGAAATGTTATGTACACGACGATGGGGAGCCTGAAGACCGATAAGAGTCCACTTAAGAAACGTAATGACACTTGTGATTACCACGAATCTCGGCATGAATAAAGACCTTTCACTTCTCACGCACCAATAGGTGTATGAACTGACGGGACACTTATAAACTTTCAAAATTTGTATTTGATTCATTTTTCACTTGATTGATATGAGAATCTATCTCTTTAACATTCAATCTTTAGGGAATTAGTGTAACAATTCTTAAGAAATTCGAACCAAGACTTCAAGAGATGTTATCAGGTCCGTTTTTGCAGTGCCGCGCCATTTAGTACACCTACTGGTGACACCATAATTCGGAATCCTTCCGCACCCATCCTGGTTAGATTCTGATATTGCATTGCATATGGTTAATCAGGCAAGGTGCCGGGTAAGGGCACATGACGAATACATTCTCTGTGCCGCATGTGCCACAACCCTTGCACTAAATCAGATAGAATATAAAATGAATCTCAATACCTTTCATCACTCTCCATATTCTTCTCTCTTCAACCCTTCATCCTACAACTGAACCCCACAGCATAAACCCCAATAACAATGGCATCTCCCACTCCACCAACCACCAAACACGAATGGCTAGTCATTCTCCCCGACCACGAAGGCGTGCTCCAAAAACGTCTCGAAGCCCGTCCCCAGCATCTCGCCGGTGTAAAGCCGCTAGCCGAAGCTGGAGCTATCCTTTTTGGAGGCGCATTCTTTGATGATTTACCTCCAGATGGGGAGACGCCTCAAGTAAAAGGAACAGTGCTTCTAGCCTATGCAGAGAGCAAGGAAAAAGTCTTGGAACAACTGCGTCAGGATGAATATACCAAGAGTGGTGTGTGGGACTGGGATAAAGTGCAGATTTATGGGTTTAAAACTGCTTTGAGAAAGGGATTGGAAGGTGGGATATAGAGTTGAGAATTTGGTACCATTACCATGGGAGGAGATGTCGGAAGAAACTGGTGCTGGAATACGACATTGCTGTCAGTCAGTCTGGCGATAAATTTTCGGTGGCTCAAAGTTGAAAGAAGAATTAGTTGAAAAAGAACAGGCTACTCTGGTAGAAGGTTTTCAGAACGTGTGTTGAAGCAAATGAAGCCAATGAAAATTTGATAAAGGAAAAATTAAGTTCAGGAGTTCTTCAATGTTCCGACTTTTTATAACTGCCTTTGGAAAATTTGTCGTTCGAGGTAATAGAACCAGGCAATTCCCGATTTGAAGCGCATTTTATACGTTGCCCATTAATCTGTGTGAGAGTAGCTACTTAGCCAGTTCACTTTCCACATTCATGCATCCCTTTAGCTAGACCTGGAACATGGTTGAAATTGATTTCCATTGTGTTTTATGTTTGAAATAAAGAATTCCGCGCCTGTGCCCTCCCACAATACTATGATACCATACCCTACTAATATCAATTGTGTGCCTTCCATGCCGTTCAAATCCCATGATGCGTACGCTGTCAATAAGACAGAAAAAGAAAAGAAAAAAGAAAGAACTAATCGCCGCAAACCGAGTCCACATGGGAACTGTGGTCATATATCTTACAATTTTATTCCTCCCTGGGTTTACCTTGCCTCTGCGATATGTATACCGCCGTTCCATGTGACCCGCCCATTGACACTCATAGCTCCCTACCAACCCATAACCCCTTGTCCCTGCCCTCCAACATCAAATACTGCATTTCTCCAACCGCCGTTATTTTCTGCCTCTCCCTCCACGATCTCCTCTGCGTCCCTACCCTCCCTCTCCCAAACTTTAACAACACTACCTGGCGCATAAACGCCTTTGAAAACATTCCCTTTGCTCTTTGCACCCCCTTGAACTCCCACATTTAGATACAGATCCGGATCCTCTTCTGGCTTCAACCTTGTTATGATTGCTTTAATAAAGGTTTGAATATCATCTGGAGAGGATATTCTAGTTGCACGGAGACGTTCACGTGCATAGAGGAGTTCGCGATTGGCAGCATGGAAGAAATCAGCCAAGGCGGTGGAGAGTTGGTATTCTAGAGTTTTGCGGAGGATAGGACGAAGGAGAGGTTTGAAAATCCTGAGATCTGAGTCAGTATATCAATGAGTGACTAAATATGAAAGAGGACGTACCAGGCTAAGCAAGCAAACTTTGATTTGCTGAGTTTGTATGAAAGATGATGGATCTTGACACGTGTATCTTTCAAAGTAAGTATTTTCTCAAGTTTGTTGCGGCCGATTTCAACATCGAACTCGATATCGATACCCCTATCATCAAGCTCGAAAGAAGCGATTCCTTCATCGGCTAACCAAAACAAACTTTTATGTGCTCGGAGCCAGAATCCAACTTCATCTGCTCTAATTGACAGTCCTTGAATCTTGACTGTTACCACAGAAGTAACCTTTGAAAAGGTACGGAATCGAGCTTTTTGAATTGAGAGATCATTATAGGTTTGGATCTTGAGCCGATATGGTAAGAAACTAGTATGATTAATAGTTCTACCGGGTTCGAGGATGAGATTCTCAAGAAGAAGATCAATTTCTGGGACGGATATCTCGAGACGAGGAATTGGTACATATTGAATGGCGGAGATGAACATGGGTATTAACACGGTAGAGAGATCAGTGAAGAGCTCGGTGTTGGAGGTTTTGTTGAGTGGGTTGAGAATGTTCCATATTTTCAACGTTGTGTGAACCAGTTTGGAAACATCTTGATCGTTCATTACTGAATCGAATGTTGTGCGTGCTTGTTTTAGCAAATTATCAATATCTTTTCGAAGAGGAGACTCGGTGCCCACTTCCTTAGATTTTTCTTTCAATTCATCAACCTTATTGGCCGCGGCATCGAAGAAATCTGGATCGGAAAGCATTTGTTGAATTGATTTTGCCAATTCTCCCATGAGGTTTTCGAATTCGGGATCTTTTTGAGAGTGCTCCATAACCTTGTTGAATCGCTTCTCAAGTTCTTTCCATGCATCCTTGTCACCAAAAGAACTCATTAAAGACCAACCATTTTTCACTGCACGATCAAGGGCTGGGTTTGGTTCAACATCATCCTGAACAGCGCTGATAGATTCATCCACAGCTCTAGAATAGGCTTTGGCGTATCTCTGAATGAGAAGACCAATTGTGTTGACTGAGTCCGAATAATCATTTCGTTTTGTCAATTTCGTAACCGCTTCCTTCAAACGATATCTTAAAGTCTCTCTCTGCTCCCCAGAAATGTTTTCCTTCAAACTTTCACCTGCTTGTCTACCTGCCTTTTTGAAGCCATTCGTAACGACTTCGCCAATCTCACTTGCTTCAGCTTGAAGGTCTTCTTTAGGAATGGGCTCACTTCTCTCCTTTCCTGGCTTCTTCATTGCTTCATTCTCGACATCCGATGGCTCAATTTTATTCGCAGCATCTTCTGCGACATCTGATACCGTCTTTGCTGTATCTGCAAAGACCTGTCGACCAATGGTATTGAGGTCTGAAAGGAATATTCGAAAATCGGAATTTGTCAATAGAAGACTACCAACAGTTTTGATACTTGCGTATGCTGTGACTGGTCAGATATCAGGATACTATATATATGATAGACAATACTTACCAGCTGAGGCGTCTGCTCTTGCTCTTGTGCTTGTGGCTCTTTCAATAAGATCCGTTGTGTTGACAGAGATTCTTGAGTGTATCAAGAACCATATAAAGTCTTGAATCTGATCTCCGTCATTCTTATTTCTTAACAATTCAATGAACTCCGTAAGCCATTGCTTCGAGAATTTGATCAATCGTCTTCCACTATCTGTCAATTCTGGATTGTCCGGATTTAAAACATCTGATGCCAATAGAGTTCTCAAATTGATTATGGCTTGTTCAGTAGATGGCATAAAGCCCTTGGATAAAGCTCTAAGCATCTGATAAGTATGCAATTTCTGATGAACCGTTCTCTGTAATGAAGTATCATCCTCATATTGAGGCAATAATGGACGAGTATCGTCACCTTTTGACTTTCTTGAACCAAAACATGAAGACATTTTGGGATATCGTAATAGTGGAGGATTGGAGATGGAGAATTGAGATTGAAGGGATCTGGAATCTGAGGATGAGATGGGAATTTGAAGAATTGGATTGTTGACGGGAGCAAGCTGCATACAATGTAGATCAACTCCACAGTTACTCAATAACTGCAATTGGTTAGAAAGGACTACTATCTTGATTTGTATTCCTTCAATTGATAATTATGTGTCAGAACTTAAAGGGAGCAAAGACTCCCGAGACTTCGTTTCCTTGCTTTTGTTGTTTTTGTTGTTTGATAACCAATGCCGATAAACGCCTCTTCTGCTCAGCCAACTGAGGCTGGGGCCTAGGATAATCTACGTCATTAATAAAGGTGGTTGATGTCATGGATCGTTGGCGCTAGGATAAACTAAAGACCGGGCTAATCGAACGATCACGTGGAGATAAGGAGTCAGGTCAGATGAGATTGAGGTCGTACGTAGGAGGCAGCGAACATTTTTAATTTTCATACCAAAATATTCTTTCAACTTTTTGCTTTTGTGCTAGAGAGCGACATATACACTTACGAGCCAGCCAAAACTGAATGGAACTATTGCTGAAATACCCATTCAGCAGTAAAGCGCATATTCTCAACTTCAAATAATCATCCATCAACCCCCACCTCATACAAACGAACAGCTTTCGCATCGTCAGAATGGAACAACGGAAGGAGGATATAACTAGAAGACCATTATACGGTAGGAATTCAATACTTGGGCACGTATTCCCAAGCTAACAAGCAATAGTCTATGACCTTCCACAAGATATTTTATCAACACTCGCGCGCAAAGACGATTCCAATGACTCCAGTGACGACACCTACCAAGCAGATACCAATTCGCCTACAGACACGGCCGAGCGAATTATACAAACCAAACCCGGAGATGTGGGATCAAAGTCCTGTTCGCTATGTGGTGTAACTTTTTATACTGTGGAAGACCAAAAGAGTCACGTACGATCAGATTTTCACAACTATAATTTAAAGCAAAAGATCCGAGGGGCAAAAGCTGTAACGGAAATTGAGTTCGAGAAGTTGGTAGGAGACCTCGACGAGAGTCTTTCAGGATCCGATTCATCAGATACCGAAGAAGATGAAGAGGATGGAGGGCGCAAAGAAACGACATTGAGCTCATTACTCAAGAAGCAAGCTGTTATAGCATCGACAAGCAATGAATTTGATGATAATCCTGGCTTAAGAAAAAGGACGAGAGGCTCTGGAAAGGCTCCAATGATATGGTTTACAACACCTACAATGCCGAAGGACACTTACCTTGGGATATACCGGGCGATTTTTACCAATGAAGAGCTAGAAAAGGAAACCCCGATGCACGAAATTGTACAGCGAAAGCAACTCTCTCCGAAACCTCAGATCAAAGTACCAGTCAACAGTGAAGGCGTTCCGTTACCAGAATGTTACAAGGGCCCTCATGTTTTTATGTGTATGATAGGAGGTGGTCATTTTGCTGCCATGGTCGTATCTCTTGCCCCTAAACAGGTCAAGAACCCACAGGCAACGACGGGTCCATTGACCAAAGAAGCAGTCGTACTCGCTCATAAAACCTTTCATCGATACACTACGCGTCGGAAACAAGGAGGAGCTCAATCTGCCAACGATTCCGCAAAAGGAGCCGCTCATAGTGCTGGATCTAGTCTCCGTCGTTACAATGAACAAGCTCTACAAGATGAAGTACGTCAACTTCTCACTTCATGGAAAGGCATGATAGATACTTCTGAGTTACTGTTCATTCGTGCCACTGGTACCACTAATCGACGTACTTTATTCGGACCATATGACGACCAAGTTTTAAAACAAAATGATCCTCGAATTCGTGGATTCCCATTTAGCACGAAAAGAGCCACGCAAAACGAACTTATGCGCTCCTTCGTTGAACTCACGCGTGTCAAAATACTTGAAGTAGACGAAGAAGCCCTCGCAGCTAAACGTGCCGCCATTCTCTCGGCACAACAATCCCTCGCCGCCAAGAAAGAAGCAGCAGCAGCATCAAAACCTCAACCCAAAAAGCTAACAGAAGAAGAAGAAACGGCACTTCTACATACATCACAACTACAATCCCTAATCCGTCGCTCAAAACTCCCTGCTCTGTTATCTTACCTCCAAACAAACTCCGTATCTCCAAACTTCCAGTTTCAGCCTGAAGAACAAAATTATCATGCTCCTACCGCCCTGCATTTAGCCGCGAGTTTAAATTCTAGATTATTAGTTGAGGGTTTATTATTAAAGGGGAATGCGGATCCTACGATCAAAAATGGAGATGGGAAAACGGCTTTCGAATTATGTGGAGAGAGAAGTACGAGGGATGCTTTCCGAGTTTGTAGATACGAATTACCTTCCCCGAAAGGATATACTTGGGAAAACTCAAATGTTCCTTCAGGATTAAGTAGAGAGGAAGCGGGCAAAAGAGATGCGCGGGAAAAAGAAGAGGAGAAAAAGAAGAAAATGGAAGAGAAGAGGATAGATGATGAGAGATTAGCGAAAGAAGAAGAGGAGAGAGAGAGGGAGAGAAATCTTAAAGGAGGAGGAAAATTTAGTAGTAGAGGTGGAAAGGGAAAGATCGTAGGAGCGGGTGTACAGGCTAGTGGACAGGAAAAGAGAGACCAGGAAATGAGAGATATGACGCCGGAGATGAAGATGAGGGTTGAGAGGGAAAGGAGGGCGAGAGCTGCGGAGGAAAGAATGAAGAGGTTGGGGTAAGGGTTTGCTTGGGGGTTGGTGAGGTAGAGATTAGATAATTGTGTTCTTTGATGTGGATGGGGATATAAATGGGGATGTGAAGAAGTTGTACTTCATATCTATATCTGTAATATACTCAACACCTCATACCTGCTATCTTCATTACTTCTACATTACACAGTATACACAGCATATTCATCCAGATCCCCAGATACTATTACAGCTATCAAAAATCCATCAAGTCGAACATACTTAAGATATCTACTATAAAATCTTTAAATTCAATGCAATCTATCCATCCATCCATCCATTGGACATACATAGATTCCGGCCCTACCTATTCTATCCCGCCCTTGTCATACCATTCTGCCTTGTCTCTTCTTTCCCTCCGGGTTCTCTTCCTCTACAACCTCAAAGACATCTCACTCTATCACTCTATCACTACATCACTACATCACTACATGACCCCCTGAAAAGAAGAAGGATAGAAGTGCTAAGCTAAACTAGGTTGATATAACACCTCCTCTCATTCTTATTAAAGTGGTCACTATCTACATACTTCTAGGTAATTAAAAAACGACTCAAGTATCTCTCAGTTCGATTCAATTCAATCCATTTCAATCTGATTCAACCACCCCCCCCCCCCCCCTCCCGCAGCCTCCATCTCAAACGGAGGCTCTCTTTTTCTCTTCTCTTATACTTAATTCCACGTATGAAGATGACCAGGTACCGAATCCGTTTCATTTCGTATCATCTCATAAAATGCAACGTACGCACAATCTGATTCTCTTTTCTCCAATCCTTATTCACCACTTCAACTCCCATCCAATGTATATCCCACCCTCCCTTCAGCTATAGTAATCTTAATCTTGGTCTTCCACAAAACTTCACCCCACGCCATCCTTCTATAAACTCAACCCATCCTATCCAAACTGCAAGACCAAACTTCAAAATCAATTCTCAGCCGCCAAAATATACACACGCAACCACCCCACAATAATGACAGAACTCCACTTCAGCCATGTTCCATAATCACCAAGTCTCAGATCTCAAATCTCAAATTTCGTATCAAATCAAACCCCCTATAACATCTTCAACACTTCTTCTTCGAACCGCATTATCATCGACTCATTAGTATGTATGTAAAAAACGCCATCCCGGCGAAAATCTGCCCAAGCTAGCCAGCGCATAACATAAGAAACGTGACGAAATGTAGTTGTGGAACGAATCCCCAAATTTCGCTCCCCAGCTTCCAGTCCCTCCGTTTGAACATTCGCTTGACAACCACTTTCTTAACATGCAATCCAGCTAAACAGTCAAGAGTTATTGACCGGTGATTCTGTATCTCAGTACCTCCTCACCCCCGTTGGAATATTCGCACATACCAATGCCACATTACATATCCGTACTACCGGGTAACCTAACCAATTTATGCCCATGATGTTCTTTGGGCGGTAAGTGATTATGCCCGACCACTCTATTCAAACTCCTATTCCCTAGGCCTGAGCATTTACTCGCATCGATAATTGTAGTGGGTTCATCGTAACTATCAATCTGACAACACTCAACGTTCTTCATCCAACGATTTTTTGCCACATCTGCAATAGTCGCTCTTTGTTTAGGGTCGGGATTGAGCATTGTAAGAAGTATGCGACGAAGAGCGGGTGGATTAATATGTTTGTCGAAAAATGAAACGTGAGGATAATCAGAGTCTGTTATGGAACAGTCGTTATGCTTGCCATTCCATTTATCCCAGCCCCGGACGAGTTCGTCGTAATGGGGGGATGTGTTGGGCTTGGCTCTTTCCCAAAGACAGCCGCTGGCAGTCATACAGAGCATAACTATAGCAGCACTCCATACATCTAGAGGTCTTGGGTCGTATTCACCTAGTAAGGTTGTTAATATGGGAGATAATGTAAAGTAAGATGCGTGTTTACATACCTTGCTTCTCCAGAACCTCTGGGGCAATATAGGGAGGACTGCCACAGATACCAGGAGCGCAAAGTCTGGTTTCAGTCATATCCTTTCCACATTCACCTCTGGCGGCTCTGAAACCAGGATGAACACCAGCAAAGACTTCGGAAACACCAAAGTCTGTGATCTTGAGCTTACTATCCTTGGTTATCAATAAATTCTCAGGCTTGATATCTCGATGAGCGATTCCGTTACTATGAAGAAATTGAATGCCTTGAATAAGTTGCTTGAATAAACATTGACGATCCTTTAAATGGTCCTCTTTGTTGAGGTACTTCTGATTGATGAGACTGAATAGATCGCCTTGTTCGCAGTACTCCATCACATGGTTCCACCGACCATTGTGTGTACAAAGTCGAAAGGTCTGTACGATGTTTGGGTGACGGGCGGCTTTTGCAATCGAGTATTCTGATTTGACTTTCTTTTCATAGTCTTCTTCCTTTTCCGTCGTAGACTTACCACGGAATTCTTTCACAGCAAATATATTGCTTGAGCCATTCTTAACGACAAGTTTCACATGGGCTGTGGCACCTTTACCGACCTGTTTTCCACGACGTCCTATAAATGTAGTTTGCTGATGATATTCTTCATCCAATTCTACGACATCAACCAGGAGGTCATCTGGTAGACTCATACTCATACGTCTTGATTTCAGACCAATTCCGGTCTCGGCCGGCATGGCCCAAGGCTCTCGCAACATCTGCTGCACCCCTTCCGTGGCAAAGCCATTGTTCAAATCCCAATCAACGCTTGTGGCACGTTGAGGAGCTTTGGATTTATCTTCTATTGCCGATGTATCAAAGGCAATTTTGGGTCCATGATTCTGGAATACATTCATCAGGCTCATGCTCAGACCCGTCGAAGATCTTTGTTTCTTGGTCATATTGAGGTTCTCGCTTGGTCTTGTGTTTGAGAACAAGTTTTCTTGCGATGATTGCGTTTCTGATGGGGTGCTGGGTGAAGGTGGTGTGTTTGTACGGGAGGTGAATGCTGTAGTAGAAGTTGATGCTCGTCCGATCGACATTCGGCGATGCTCTTTGCCTAACATTGGATCGGAACCATTATTGATTTTAAGAGTAGTCGGATTTGTAAGATTGGTCTGGTCATTCAAGACGGTTATACTTGAAGTCCCAATTTGAGAATTTGACCTCTTGAAGAACTTCGAAACTTTACCTCTCAGACCCGAGTCTTTTGTAGTAAAAGTTGGTCTTTTTGAAAGCGGGGTTGGAGTAGAAGATGGGTCTGTGTTTTCTCTAATGGATTGTGGAAAGGAGAATGGTGTCTGCGCGTTCGATCGAGGTGAAGGAGTCGCAATAGTATTGACTATTGTAGGAAGCTGAATTGAAGATGGTGGAAGCTTACGAATGAGATCATGAGTAATCTCACTGCCAGTGAATACTTTAGGATTTTGGTGAGGATTTTGGAACTCTGTAGGAGTTATTGGCTCATTAACAGCTTCGCTGCTGGTCTCGTACTCGTATTCTTCGGGAATGGAATCGACTTGATGAGAATCTATCGAGGAAGGTCGACTCGATTCTGCAGAAGGAGAATTGGATTCAATCTGAGGAGAATGATGTAATTTATTCGAGATATTAGGAAAAGTGGAAGACAATGTAGGGTGAGTAAGTGGTAAAGTAGTGGTCGCCATGATTGCTAATCTGGTGAGCTGACTCTGTACTTTGAGAAAAATTAACGAAAGAGTCAGGAAAGTGCGAATGATGAGTAAAAGTTTGATGGTTCTGAATTCTGAAATTTGAAATTTGAAAGTTTGTGCCAGTAATCCAATCACTAGTATAAAATAGTAGTGTAACTCGTGAGCTAGTTTAACCCAGTAGCGTGTTGAGAGAAGTAGTATAAAGTTTCTCTTGGGAGGGCTAGGTCTGCTTTTGGTATGGCGAATGGGGAAAAGCAGTATCTGTAAGACCGTTTAACTGTCTTGCAATCGTTCACTAGTAGTTCTGTAGATCTAGAACTTCTAAACTGCTTCAATTGTATTGTGGTATCTTCGTCAAGTGTATCTTCTCGAAAGTGTGAACAATGCGATAGGATTGACCGATTTCGCTTTCTCTCCGGGAGAGGTTAAGTATAAATTAAAAGAAACGAAACATGATAAAAAGGATCGGAATGATCTCGTTGATGAGAGACAAAAGTAGCAATGATGTAGTTTTAGTCTGATTGAAAAATCAAATCCAAGTACTGGATAAATTCTTAGGAAGAGGCCGTTGACCGCAGTCAAAGGAGGGGAGGGAAATGGATCTAATAGGTTCTTGTCAGTTGCGAAGACGAGGCTTGATGCATAGAAGGCTTGGTAGAAGCAAGAAACCTGCAAACTTGTTGTTGAGAGATAAAAGAAGGATGCGGGGGTGAGAAACAGTTAAAAAGTTATCTATATATCTTACATTCGCACGAATAGAGAGATTGGAAGAAGATCTTGGTTGATGCAGAGCAAGAGGAGGTGAATGGCGAAATATGGATTCGTGATACCTTGATTGGAAGCAAAGGCAGAGGCAGAGGCAGAGGCAGAGGCAAAAGCAAAGGTAAAGGTAGGCAGGGATAGCTTTGCATGTGCAGGCGTACGTATAAAATATGAATAAGTAGGTAGGTAATACCTAGTACTGTGAGAATATTCAGGCTGATCGCAAATAATAACAATAATAATAATGCTTATGCTTGCTGTCTTGCGTTCATACAAGAAAAGAAGAATGTTGTTTTGCGAACAAAATTGTTTTTGCTTGCGTTTCTACCGTGCTAGATAGCGACGATGATGGCTTTTGGCTGGCTTTTTGGCTTTTGGCTTATGATTCTTCCACTTCCAACTTCCATTTTGATAGATTTCGATGATATGATGGTAACATTGAATGGCATGTCAATATTATATTTTATATTTCTCATTTGTCTCTGAAATTATGTTACCCGTCTAATAAAGATATCTATCTACCGACCGACCGACCGACCGGTACTTAACCTACGTATTGACTCTACCGGGTATAAATCGACGGAAAGACGTGATTCTATTGTTGAAATTACTTATTTTTATTTTTATTTTTCTTATCAATTATATTTCCGATGTAAGAACAAAGAAATCTTCCATAGAGTTGAATATAACTGGTCAATAATGGAGTGATAACATTCAATAACTCTTCCATGGGAAGAGACGAGAAAACGGCGACTCCATGCCGAGAGATTTGCCCATGAACTTTGTCGAGGAATGATTCAAAAGGGGTTTCTTCTAATTTCACTACGACCTTTTGGATGGTATGAAGTGGGGAATTGAATGCTACATACTGCTTGCAGATAATGCCAAACAGTACATTTTGATCAAGCTGAAGAGTGTCTGAATTTGACGTTGACATTCATGTTGTTATTGTTATCGATGAATCGAGACCATTTTAGAACAATTCTTCGCTTATTTCCCTTTCTTTCCTTCCATTCCGCCGTCATTCCGCCCTTCAATACGTAAGTAGGTATTTACTCAATCGTTACATTACATGCATACTACCAATATCTTATCTCATCCTTTCAAAACCACCGGGGCACATACTTGAGACTCAAATATGAAGTTATTCCAATCACTTCACATATATCACACACAATGAATCCCACGATTCTTTCAGCTTCTAATTATTACAACACTGTCACTTACCTCACCGACCTTCTTTCCGAGTACACTTATCTTTCTTTGAAGGCGGGTTACATTTGGAAGAATATTACCTTGATGCGACATTGTATGAGCCAAGCCAAAGTACAACACTTAATAGTACAGTACACGAATGGTACTTCTCGTTTTCGAAGCTGATGGTACAATTGACTTTCACATTTTGCTGGACGTTGAGTTGTTGAATCGCCAAGGCAGGTAATCTTCGATAACAGATCTCGAATCTGTCTGTTAATATGAAAGCCAAGAGAAAAGTAACCGTCGGTATTGCATTACACGGAACGAACAGCGGATTGAGGGACGCCTTGTATACCTTTGCCAAGGCTTCATTTCCATCAAACGGATATTAGAAATGGAGCAGACGATATTATCACGAAAAGAGTCTGTCTCTGCAGATAGAATTGTCGAAGTGATGATACATTAGTTGTTATCTGAACTTTGAACAAACAGTCAATCCATCTTCCTGGCAACTGGTTTCGAATGTTACTTTTTTACACGGTACCGAGCACATCTAGACCTCCCCACCTGAACCTTCCAGCCACACGGAAGAATTATCTAGATTAGATATTATGCCGAGAAGATCTTGTGTGTATGAGGTGGAGGAAATGAGGGACGCTAGAAAAGTTGGGGGTCACCAAGTTGTTCTATCGTCTATGAGGAACAAGGGATCATTTCGTGCATGATGTACGTGCAATTGATTTCTAGCTTTTTGATGTCCATCGCCATGTCTGCTTCTAGGTCCGAGTCACCCGAAGAAGAATATATGCTGTTGATCATTTTCATCTCTCGGTTTTTGAAGGAGTCACAGGTGCTTCACAATGTCGTGAAATTACAGTAACTCAACGAGTTACTACCGAGCTTACTTGTCAGCCAGCGCCTGTACTCTAGGAGAAATGGGAAAGTTGTGTCCAGACAGGCATGGAACAATATCATATCTATTCAACAACCTCTCATAAGGCAGACGGGATAGGCAAAAACTTTGTCACTATATGTTTCGAGATCTTTGTGATTCATATATCTTGACGCCTGCATCAATATCCTTGAAAGATTCCGCTTCTCAAACATCTCAACAAGTTGCTGCTTGACTTTTTCAAAGTTATATTCGGCCAAAAGACCTTGCGCATGGAGCGGCTATGATTACTGCGATACCGAAATCACTCTTCTTTCCAACAATCCTAATCCTCCTACGCTGTTTTTGCAACAGACAACGGGTACAACTGATCCACAACATTAGTGGGTTCGAAAATCGCTCAAATGTAAGCCTCATTCGTTGTCACAACTCGGGACCATCAAGGTTAAAATTAAGCAAAAGTCGGTCGCTCCTATGTAGAGTACAATTTAGTACTTCTATGGAAAGCGACAGTGACTTGCAGTTATGTATTTGACTTCAAATCACATTTTGGCGATGATGGCAAAATCCCAAGACCTGCAAGTAGGTCAAGTGAGGTATCACAAAATGCTTCTATGCCAAGTGATCATCATTTTGCCCCTTACCGCTTATACATTCCCTTTCATCAATATCCAGTTGTGCTAATCTAATGAGTCTTGGGAGGTATGAGATTGTTGGATCTGACAATACTTGCACCAACGTTCATCTTTCAGTCTAGAGGACCCTTCTCCACAATTGTGATGGGGCGACAGTTAGACTTTGGACCTCAATTGGGATTAGTTGATTGTCAAAAATCCTTGAGTACCGCCGATAACCCACTAAAATATGCACGTACCATGGCGGGGTATTGACGACACCCCACCAGCTGTACTGTACTGTACTGTACTGTTGCCAACTGACAACTGCCAAATGCCAACGGGTAGTGAGTGAAAAGGAACATCAAATGGAAACATGGAGCTTTGAATCTAAGACCTTTGGGATACACATACCAAATATGAGATGAAGCTGGATCCTAGAGGAGAACCTTGAAGCCTTCGCCAGATGTCATCCAATAGATTGATTACCGCACAACTCGACACTTTGAACACCACGCGCCTTTTCTTATGACTTGTCAGCTTTCATTCCGGAGCAATCATTGAAGCTCGTGGGCATCCATATTACTTAGGCAATTTTCAAGGCCATTGAACAAAGTCTTTAATTCATTACAATTTATATTTACGTCCAGTCATGATCTTCAATTTTCAATACCTAGGCTTAGCATTGTGATCAAGTACTGACGCCGATGGCATGTCATGTACAACCACCATTCAATTTCATTTTATCATTCAGCCGACACATATTTCCGAACCTTGGGAATTATTCCATTTCTGGAGCGATGACAGCCACATTCATCGCTCCATATCAATTCACCACTCATCGAATTCTACCGTCATATATTTTATCCTTGGCTTCCCTACCAGTTTCTTATTCTTCCAAACAAGCTTTCTTCCCTAGGAGAGTCTAGACACTCTAAATACTGTACCTGCACGATTCTGCATGTATCTGAATGTGGTCATATCGTGCATGTAAAGTCAACGGGGAGTATTGCGATCTTATTTTACTAAATATGTAGTTCTCAGCATGACTCAAGACAATCAAAATATGAGCATCTGCACAATTGCGTACTTATATTAAAATTGTCTAGGTCTCAATCTGTTAACTCTCAGCTCGTTCACGTACAGTAAGTAGCCCTTACATTATCCGATGTCCTTACGACACTTCATCCATACTCGGTTTGAAAGCCTCACGAAAGTCATCGAGAAGCGGTCAATCGGAGTAGCCTGGCCCAGAAACCTCAATCTACGCCGCAAATGTTACAAGCGACTTTATGTCCAATAAGGAAAACGTTAACGCGTGTCCAAATCCTTCCGTGAGGCATTTAAGCCGACCGCATTTTCCAGTACAGTCAATGTTGCTAGCCATACCTCCCCGTATTATCTAATTCATCTCCATTGGTGATTTCAATTAATACACATTAGGCTGATGGTGAAGCTCTTGTGCCTATCCGGAATCTGCCTTCCCGGATTGCGAGAGAGAGAGGTGCATAAAGTTTATGCAGCTTTATGCGCATAAGTCGCGTGCCAAAACATATTTGCGTGACTTGGTATGACCGAACTAATAATCATCTGATCTTGTGGTCAAGAATATATGTAGGGAAATCTTGGTAGCAGACTTTTCATGTGGTGAAAAATTTTCACGATTCTTTGTCAGAGAAGAATTATTGATTGAGCTTGAAAATTCAGCCTCTCACCTCTGCGCTTCCGTGTTTTTACCTATTCTGAGGGATCTATCGGTATTGAAAGTTCCTTTCTGTTAGATGATCTGCATTGAGCCGAGATCGGGCAGTTGCAAGATACTCGTGGGCATTATTAACGGACCTCGGGTCGTTGCTCCTATGCTTATAGTTTAATATATGATTGCTTGATGTATATGCACCTGCTTTTGTCGTTTCTATCTATATGCGTTGTTCTTTGCAGCATGTTATCAGGTCTGTGAAACATGGATAAGGCTGGGCTTGAGCTGCAAGATTCATCTCAGGTCGACGCGTGGGGGTGAGAGTCGGCGTTGAATTATTGAGAGGCTCTATTGCTTGCGGGTTATCATATTCATCAAAGTATTGAGATCTATCTCCATGTCGATATATACGTACAGCATCTTTATCTGCCTTTTCTATGTCCCTATACGTATATAAACATCTCAACATTCAACAACGTTCCTCATCGAATTGAAATAGTCAGTGAGTCTCCTGCTTCGAAGAGGTCTTGAAACGGGGTAGTTTCTAAATCACACGATCACTCAAATCAATATTTAGCATGCGCTTTCATGTCAGTTGTTCTAGTTCTTATCTCGTGTTTTCTGTTACCAGTCTCGATATATTCACTAGCAAGAAAGTCAATATTCCTGTTAGTTTTGACAATTTTTAATCTTGTTGCATATCTGAATATTCATTAACTCGTATAACCCTTTCACTCTGATTCACTTCATAGAACACCAAATTATCTTATGTTGGGTGATTATCTATAGTAGTGAAGATAGATTGAAAGCTCCATGGTACTACGTCATGTCTCTTGAGTTTTCCCAAAGTTTGATACTCATCTCTTTAGGAGAGACGTCATTGACTTCGATTACGTTCTTCAAGAAAGGATTATTGTGTATTAGAGTAGGAATCTTGATATCTATTGGGGGTGTGTGCTAAGCAAAGTGATAACAACTACTATAGTACTCTAATATTACAATACACTTGATCCGTCTTCAATGGCCATGAGAGAATGAAAGTAACTCATTGCATTCTGATTCGTAAAGCATTCACAAGCATCGCTTTTATACTTATAATTGTGGTCAACTGTTTTGATGACATTTAGTATCGAAACGGAATGAATTCAGTGTTTACTCTATTCTATTTGACCTGGTGATGTCAAGAGTGTTTGTGGCTCTTGAATTTGCTAAATTGCACCGCATCTTGTCTCATTCCATTCCGTTTCATTCCATCTACATTTCTCCATACCTTAAAACCCCCTACCATACGAAACCCAAAAAAACTTAACGGCCTTTGATTTCTCATCTCTCTGCCCAAGTAAATTAGAGAACTTTGTATGAACTAATTAATTTTCAATGCGGTTCGCTAAGTAAGAATAATGACAGATGATGTGGATATCGATAAACCCTCTCCCTTCCTATTCTCCATTTCTGCTTCTCGAAATCTCGTTGAACATTCCTTTCTTTTCCTTTCACCTTGGTTCTCTCCCTCTCTCTCTTTCCCTATCTAAGGGAGCTCTTCCATTCATTCATCTATTCATATACTTTCTTCAAATATCTTTTTCTCAAATCTCAATCCATCAGAACCTATGCATTCCTAGATCATTCTCTCCCGTCCATTTCCATTCAATACTCGCCAACCCCCCCATCCCAAATACATATATCAAAACATCATCAACTCACTCACTCATTCAATCAAAGAACAAAATCACCCCCCTCCCCCTCCCCCTCGCACTCTCCTTGCCTCAAAACCCTACTCTCTCCCCCCTCCCTCTCAAAAAATAAACCCCCAATAAAAAATCAATCCTGTCCTCGGAGAGACTCGAACTCTCGACCTTTGGATGGCACAGTAATTGTTATCAACTACCTCATGTGTTATAGAAATATGAGACCAACGCTCTAACCAACTGAGCCACGAAGACTTATTATGATTTGATGCGGGCGGGGCGTGTTATGTGGAATTATATTTGAAAAGATTTCGGGGAGTGGAAAAATGGAGTCATTTTTTGGGTGTTGAGGAAAAGATTTTTTTTTCTTTTTCTTTTTTTTGGGCCGCGGGGTGGGGTGGGGGTCGTTGGTGGAGAGGGTGGTGCAGAGGTGGAAAGGTGGATGCTTCACTTCGGTTCGGTTCGGAGAACTTTGTTGTTTGAGCACTGGGAATGAATGAATGAATGAATGAATGGGACGGGGTTCGCATGTTGGGTATGGATGGCTTGGATATTGTAAACTTGTAAACCTGTAAACTTGTAAGGATACTGAGGTAGGTGTCCATCTGTTCGCTCCCCTTTTGATCCACTTGGTCTGGTTCGGGAGGGTGATGTTGAGTAGAGTAGAGTGTGGTATGTATGTTTTGGTGTTTGGGTTTGTGTTTGGTTTGGTTGGGAAGTGGTATGTATATATGGAGGTGGATTTATCTGTATTTTTATATAGGTACTTGTATGTAGGTGCTTGAGATACTTGATATTTATATGAGAATGAAGATGAAAATTAAAATTAAAATTAAAATTACCATCTATCTACTCATATTTGACAATAATTAGATCTTCAACTAATGAATAAAATAGAATAGATTTTTTTTGCTAAGATATAGAGAGGAATATATACTACCTAAGGGATAAGGATAAATTTAATAATGAGGTTGGATTTTGATTTTGATTTCGGTTTAGTTGTCGATACTTAGAACTAGAATGTAAAATGTAAAAGATGTATCATTTGATTAATACATTCAACCTCGAATCTCATATCTAAGCGTACAAATGCTACTTCATAATACTTCATTCATTCTATCTCACCCTGCTCCATCTAAATTTATTCCTCTTTACCTCTTTATATTCATAAATGGCATTTCCACATTCACAAATCATTCCCGTATCCACAAATCATTCCAATATTATTCATTTGAGAACATTACTATCATATCATCCTCAAATCCTCCTCAAATCATCCCTACACCAAACCACAGCTCAGCACACCACACCACTCCTATTCAATCCAATCCAATCCAATCCATTTCAACCTCCCTGCATCATCTCCATCCCCATCTCAGCAAAATCACTCTCAAGTCTCCAATTCCCAATTCCCAATCTTCAAAATTCACATCCTCGAGACTATATATCCATATCCATATCCATCTCCACACCCAGCCAAAAGCGAACCAAAAACGAATCCGAGTCCGAATCATACATACATACACCACCGAAGCGAATCTGTGTCTTGTTATCATTATCCTTCCTTCCTTCCATCCATCCATCCACTCCCCACTTCATCCCTCGCTACAGCAATATATTCCCCTCCCTCCTTTCTCCTCCTTTCTCCTCCATACACTTCCCTCTATAAAACCCCATCCTATAAACAATACAATACACACCAAGTACACCAGAACCCCATCATTAACTATTAAACCCATCTCCCTCCTCCAACACCACTCCCAATCCCCAATCCCTATCCCCTATCCCCATCCCCATCAAAACGACTCCAAGCCCTCGAACAAAAAGACACACAAATCAATAAACAAACCATCCCCGCAAACGAAATTCCCCATTAAGTATTAGGTGTACACTCAATATACACGAACTGAAGAGAAAGGAGAAAAGTGAAAAAGGAAGAATACAATAAAACTAAAATAAAATAAAAACAAAATTATCAAAATGGATGGATTCGTGCAGGAGAAGCACATGAATTTGATTCGAAACGAGTCGAAGAATCGAAAAGGCTATTGGAGCCTAGTGGTAGTTTTGCCGTTCTCTCTCTGCTTGCGAGTTGAACCATGGTGTGATTGCGGTGTGTCGCTATTAAATAAGAAGAATCCACCGAATTAATCTTGTGTTGAATCTCAATGACGAGATGAGAAAGAGAAAGAATGACATCTCAGTCAATCCTTACTCAATTCCAGATTTCCCCGAAGCCGTCGTCTTGCAAACAGGCCTGTTTCCCAGTTCGCAAGGATGGTAAACATGTCATCTTCTATCGACTTTCTCAACCAACGACCTTCTGTTTAGGTGCCGCTCCTCTCAAACTCTGTCCCAAATGACTTGCGGCAATACTACTAGCCGCCCTCTCACTTCTTCTTCTATTCGCACCACTAATTCTTTCACTTCCACTTCCAAACCCGCTAATACTCTCCGCTTGTTTTCCATGCTCTCTCATACCCCTTGGACTCTCCCTCTTGCCCCTGGTCTTCAACCCCTCATTCCCCTTACTCTTCCCGCTGCTAGCAGAATATCTCTTCTCTCTACTCCTCTCACCAACACTTCTCACTTCACTCGCTATACTGCTTAGACTCGAAATCCACGACGCAGTATCCCTCTCCTTACTTCCTAAACAACTTCCACCCCCTCGTTCCCTATCCACTCTCCCAATCCTCAATTTGCGCAACATTCTCCTAATCGCTCCGATCGGCTCACACAAGTAAAAAATGCCCATATCATCAAACAGTGAAATCCATTCCACATTACATAATTCTAGGAGTGGTTTGCATAGCATCAAAATCCCTAGGTCATCTAGAAAATTGAGGAATTCGAGTGCAATGGGAGGTGCTTCGGTTGAAATGAGTGTGGAAGCGCTTGAAAAGGTTGCTGGATCTGAAATAGTGTATGGAGGAGAAGGAGGGAGACGGGTGGGAGCTGAAGCTTGGGGGGTGGGAAGGGCTATGGTCGAGGGGAAAGCAGCGGGAGAGCGGGAGTGCGATACACGTTCATTGGATGTATTGTTTATGGAGTGGGAAGGAGGCCGGGTATGGCGGGGTCGATGAGATCGATGTTGAGTTTGGTCAGCGAGTCGAGGTTTGCCTAAGGAATCAACGCTATCATTGGAGACTGGCGAGTGGAGGGTGGATGCTGTTGAAGGGCTGCGGGTAGAGGAATCATGATGGGTCTGTGTACGTGTGCGTCTACGTTCCCGTTTACGTTCTGGGTAGGCGTAAAGTGATGGTGGTGGTGACATTGATGATTGACTTAAGCCGGAATGTCTGAGGTATTAAATGGATTGTCTGGTAAAGGCGCTGGCTGTATGTAAGGAAGATCGTTGTTGCGGTGTGGATTGGTCTTTAACAAGAGATGTGATTGAATAAAAAATGTATGATGAAGTGGCTACGCAGTGAAAATTGAATAAAAAGGTAAGGAATATGCAAGTCAAGTCAAACGTTGGCAAGTGAGCAAGTAGAAAACACTTAATTGAAGAGATGTGGATTGGCAAATATCAACCAATTCCAATACATACAAAGCAACACGAAAATGAAAATGATTGAACAGAGAAAGGAGAACTTTCTGGACCTTTAAAAAATCGAGAAACTATATAATACTCATCGACGACCGAGTTGAAAATCTCCATGTTACCATCGTAACCACTCCATCATCTCTATCACTTTTTCAAGAGAGAAGGATCCAAAACCAAGACATTGAGGCTCTATCTAGAAGATCATGGAAACGTGACTATTCACCGTTCGTTTCGTTTGGTTCTTTGGGAGGAGTATCTCTGCCCAAACTGCTGTGGCCCCTTCTCCCAATTACTCAATTCTATTACTGGCGACTTCGCTGGCAATTTGACCCTCCTCGACCTTTCCATTTCTGAACAAACCCACCTTGTTCACGAGGATGTCAAGTAATTTATTTCTCTCACCTCATTAATTTCCATTTGATATAGATCTCTCGTCCATGGAATGGCTGCACACCGGACGATTGTCATTCAATCAGAACGATGTAAAATATGGATGTGAAAGCATTCGGAACGATTGGCAACACGTTCGTAAATTCGGGGGCAGGAAAATAATTGTGTACCTCTAGCTATCGGCTTTTCTTTCTATTTCGGCTTTGAAAGAAGATGTACTCAGGCATTCATACAGCCTTATTAAGAGAAAAATGGAGAAGGGAATGAAGAAGTTATGGGACCGACGGGCGAGTCTGATTCTCGCTCGAGCCTTGATAGAAAAAGAGATGGATCGCTTGTGACGTGTTCAGGGGAAATTTCTTTGGGAATTCTTTGGTTTATAGTGAAGAGTGAAAAGAAGCTAAGGCAGAGCCCTGAAAATCCTTTCGTCCTCTTTGGGTCTTTGACTCTTGGATCACTTTAAGGGTTAAGGGATTGCAGGACATGAATGGGGACATGGGCGAGATGGGGAGAAATAGGATTGACGGATTTATTATTTGAAATTGGATGTCTGTTGGCTGAAAATGGTTACTCCTACCTCGTAAATGGTCAATGGTCAATGGTCAATGGTAAAAGGAGATCTTCCGGTAGATATATTAAAGTATCATTTGTATGTGGGATTCATCGATCTTGTGATGAGAGGAAAAAGGAGGGGGAGCATGGGGAGAATGGAGAAAAAGGGGAAATATGGAGAAAGGATATGGAGAAAGGGAGAAAGGGAAAGGGAGAATGAGAGGCAAAAAGGAAGAGAAGACAGGAAAAAGAACCCAAAAATGATCAAAAATATCAAAATATCAAAATATCAAAATATTATGATCATATTAGTTGCCTCCAGCTGTTTCATAAAGACCCTTAATTCAAGCAATTATAATTCACGGACCGATCCGTCATTCATCATTGGTACCAAGGGAACCAATCAATTTGACACATTTGATAGGTGAAAGCCGAATGGAGTACCGGAATAATGAATTTTATGCAGTTACAGCATTATTTGCATATGTTTGAGAATATAAATTGACCGGGAGAGAGAGAGAGAGAGGGCAGGGACAAATGAAATTTGATGTATAATGACAACACACCAGAATATATATAGGTACCTAGGTATGGATGGGATGGGATGGGATGGATGGGATGGATGGGATAGACGGGATAGATGGGATGGATGATAGATAAGTAAATACAAGGGAGATAGATAGGTAGATGGAAACCTTGGAAGTAGAGAAGATTGTATAAGAACTTTGATATATTATGTTAATTAGTACCGTATCTACTCGTACTGAATAATTTATTTGTTTGTTTATTTATGTGTTTATCACTGTCCCTCCTTTTACACACCGATATTTGAATTAGGAGCAGAGCAAAGCAGAGAAGAGAAGAAAGAAATCCATCAATGACTTTTGTTCTCAAGTGATAGGATGATGATCAGATAAGAGAGACATAAAAGAAAGAAAGAAATCTTTTTCTTTTCCTTTTTTTCCTACTTCGTCCTGACTTGATTGGGAAGTGGATCCGTGCTCTTCCGTCATAATCCCGTCCCGAGGATAATTGCTGATTGCCAATTGCTACCTTACTCAAGTCACACACACGCACACACATACTCATACTCATACTCATACCCATACACCTCTCTCTACACCTCTACACCCATACACCCATACACCCATACACCCATACACCCATACACCCATACACCCATACACCCATACACCCATACACCCATACCCATCCACTCATACATACCTGCATCAGAGAATGATCAGCCTGAGCCAGTATTACATTTTGATATCAGCTTGCGACAAGTTTTACATTGACTTAACTATAACTATTAAGTTACAACCACCTATACCTATACTTAGGTAGCTACTATATTGGATCATTTACTCCATTTGAAATTCATCCAATCCATTCAATTCATTCAATCCATTCTTTTAAACGATTTCAAACAATTTCAAACAATTTTAAACAATTCCATCACAAGAAATTTCCTGGGTATGACCCTATTCATAACCCATCTAATAACATTATACAATACCATATCATTTCATACCATACCTTACCATACCTACAAGACAACCATCCCCAAATTAAATAAACAACACACAATTCAACTCTAAAAAACAACCTACCAATTCTTTCTTTCCTTCTCTTCTCCAACAAAGTGCTGTAGATATGGCTCATTTAATTCGATTACCACTCTCTCATTCCGGCTCTACAGTCAATTCGCCAATGGCCGGTCATCTACATCACCTTGGGCAAGCTCCCACCTCCTTCTTTCCTCCCAATACCTCTTCTCCAGCACAATACAAATATCACTCATCTCCCAGCGGTGGTCCGATTTCTCCTCCGCATACTCGATCTGCTTCGGCAGAAAATACTGCGGCCGAGTTAGTCGAAGACTTCAGAAGATATTCGCACAACTTGAGAGAACAATTCGAAGGGGAACGAGCGCACATCTTGGCAGACAGGCAGCGTGCAATTGAAGTGATAGCAGAAGAACGAGAATTATGGGACAAGGAAAGAGGAATCTTAATTGCTCGAATTCGAGAACTCGAAGCAAGATTGAAAGAAAAAGGGGATGTCGTATCACCAGCTGGAATCTTCAATTTGGAATTGTCAAACCTAGGGTTCAGCCCAGCAGCAAACGTATTCACTAGTCCAAATGGTGTACCGATTATTAAAGGACCTACGAAAGCAATGGCATCTCCAGGAAGTGGAAGTACCGAATCGAAAAGATCATCGCACGGTCACCCAGAAATAAAACAAGAAACAGGAAGAAATGCAGATGGATCTCCATTTTACGCGCCAGCACCACAAAACCCCACGAGAACATTCTCAGCAGAATCAGAAGCTCTGAGAGTCGAAGATATTCATGCGCCCAGGCAAACACCAATTCAAGTTATTCAAGAGTTAACTCCGTCTGATTTCGTGGGATCCTCTCAATATGCATCACCCGAACTCTTACATCCACATCATTCTGCTGTACATTGGGAGAAGGCCGAAAGTAATAATGGTGATATCATAGGAGCTGATAGTATAGACATATCAAAAATTGCTCCACATCTCGAAGGTGTACCCATCAAAGCCAGCGCCGTAGATCCGGTATTCGTCGCACATGTTCTAAGTCCTCGGTCTGCCAGTCCGAGACTTAGTCCAAATGTTAAGCCGCCAGGAAGAGATGTTGGTTTGAGTTTGGGAAAAGCAAATTTGGAACCAGAAAACAAGAGATTGACAATGTATGCCGGTCACACACCTAATCATTCCATTTCACGCTTTTCCGATTTGGTCAAAGAGTCTCAAGAGGCGGAAGGGGATGAAACACCAAGAGGTTATGATGGACTTGTTCATCGGGGTTCCCTAGCGCCAATTCCGGATGAAGACGAAAGAATCGCGCTCGATAGACTACTACCAGATGAAGACGATGAAGAAGTTCATGATCGTCCTTTAACAGGTCCATTATGTCTTACGAATGTTCCAGCCAGAGATGAATTATTCCTTGAAGCTCTGACGGAGAAATTGGAAGAAGTTAAAAACTCAAGACCGGGTAGTAAAGAAGTTAGTCCTACCGGTAGCGCAGGCACCTCGAGCCCGGTCCTGGAAATGAAAAAAGCGAGAAATAGGTCGATTGGTGGTGGAGGTGATGATGGGAGGGGTATGGAAGGAGAAGGACATGATTGTGAAGATGAAGACGAGGATGATGAACCAGGACCTGTTCTGTTGAAAATGAAGCCGAGTATGAATTTTGGAAGACCAATGGGACAGAGATGATTTTATCGTCGGATTTCAACAGTGGATAAGATTTTTCTGTTTGCTTTTTTCTTCCTACTGGAGACAGATACTAGGATCGAACTTACATTTGCATGATCGGATGGTGTGATTTCAGGAGCCTCAAAAATTGGAAACTGCCCCTTTCTTCTCTCTCATCTGGCGAAATTCGACGTCTTGGCGGCCGGATGGGATCCGATCTGATGGAACTCGAATTCAAACCCGAATCCCAAGATTAGATGGACGGAAACCCCGCATCGAACTCACCTCTCAAGCACCATTAGCAGATGACGGATAATACTGCATGATCGTACAGAATGGACAGGACGCCTAGAATGACTGCAGCGGGAAGATACTTTTACGGGTGATTGATCGCATGGATGGAAAGATACCCCCCTTTTACAAGATTTCTTTTGTCAATGGAACAGAAACAAAACACTTGATTCGAAAGTTCGCGCATTCACATTTAATTGGTGGTATGTGCAGACAAATATAGATATAGCATAGCATAAAATAGCGTAGCGTCGTGCAGCGTATTCGGATATACCTGTGGGAATTTGGGTATAGCATGGTATTACAGGTATCGCAGGTATGGCGAACAAATGGGCATAGCGAAAGCATAGTATACCCTTTGAATTGAACTATTTTTTTTTTTTGCATCTTTTTTCGAAAGTAAGGTTCCTTCGCTATTTTGATGTAGATGTATGCGACGGCTAAACGTCCCATTTCCATTGCAATCTCACTCGGAGGTTCATTTTCATTTCAACGTCGTCAAATTGAGTGACAATTAGTATAATATAGGTAGGTAGTATGAAAAGTTTGATTGAATCGATTTGTCCATCCATTTCATCCACCCAAGAGACTAAACTTCGTTCATATTTTTTGAGCTGGGTAGTTAGATGCCTGTGATTCTCTCACAACATAGCATAGAGTCAGGATACCGCCCTTCTTTCGGGCGATCCTTACCATAACTCCCACGCACTCCAGCGACGCAGCCCGAATATACACTTCCCCGCCCAAGCCATCAGGCACTCTTACAATAATTGGCTGGGAAGCTTCCTTTCACCCCCCTTAACTCTCCATCCCACCAATCGTCTGTACTTCCAGTTTTCTTGGTAACCCTAATCCTATCACCTTCTTTGAAACTCAAATCTCCTTCTCCTTGGCCCTCAAAATCATAAAGCGCTACCACAAAAACGCCTCCGTTAGAAGAGCCCAGTCTCTTTGGTGGAGGAGGAGGAGGTTTCTTCTTTCCTATTGCAGAATTCACTGCTACGCCTTCATTGGTTGACCCGCGCTGAAAATAATCTAGAGATGGACCTGCGGGAGCATAAGAGGAGGAATGCGTGGAGACAGGTGTGAGATGGTTGGAGTAGTCGCTAGGAGTTGGGGTTTGAAGGGGTTCGTTGTAGTCGTTGTCAGAGGCTGTCGGTGGTGAGAAAACGGGAACCGTATGCTGGGTTGAGGCAATGCGAGGACGAGAGGCGGAACGAACAGGGGGTGGATGATCGGGTCTAGGAGATCGCGCGTCGGAATATGTGGTTGAGATGCTTGGATTGGGAGATGGATCGCGGTTTGTACTCATAGATTGATTCGAGGGACGACGGGAAAATCCATTGCGGACATTGAGACCGGTTATGGATTTGGAATTTGAGCTTGGATTTGCACTTTCGTCGCTAACGTTCATGGGTTGGTGAACGGCTTTGCCGCGGCGGATACAATCTATGAGTTCGACTTCTTGTTTTATAGGATGATAGTCTTGGTTCCAGACTGCGATGACGTCTTCCATTGGTGGTGGAGGAGAAGGTAGGCCTACATCTTCGCAGTAGTTGTGCAATGCTGTGTAGTACTGGGCGAGGAGCGTATTCTGAATCATGATTTGTACGGCGAGTAAGTGTGGTAGGATCGAAAAAGCTGCAGAGATTATAGGTGGTAACGTTTCTCTAAGATGAGCGTCTGCATCTTTGAATGCCTGGATATCAATTAGTACTACTCTCATTCGTTGACGATATCCCTGCATTAGTCGGAAGGGACAATTCTCTTGAGGATCCAGTCTTGAGTATTGGTGTGATAATTGTGTAGGTGCATATTTGAAGCCTCAAAAAACTGTCCCTCCGATGATGGAAGGGGTATTCAGGTACCAACCTCTGCTGCCCTGCCTTGTTCCTCTTCGGCTTTTGCCAAAGCGGCGTTTTCTCGATCAGTTCTCTTCATCTTAGCAGACCCTTTATTGACCTTATCTATATATCTTTCCCAGTCTAATCTTTTGTTTTCTCGTTTCTTGATCGTCTTTCGAATGGGCTGTAGAAAGTCCTTTGCTTCCGTAGCCGGTTTGGTAACTCGAGAATCCATCATCATAACTTCTTCCAGTAGATCTGTTTTTAGTTCCGTATATGTCTCCTTCAATTTGATGGTTCGCTCCATTTGTTGGCGAGGGGTAACTGCCGGATTGTCTCGATGGGCATCGCTGGTGCCTACAATGGGCTGATATAACTCCTCGAAACTTAAAGCTGTATTTAATTGAGAAGAAAGTATAGACACCCATGCGTCTCTCCATGCTTTCGAAGCTTCAATTATCTACTTATATATATCAGTAATGTACTACATAGCGATAGCATATGGCGCGAAGTTCAGGCAACTCACCATATTGAGCATCTTATTCGCATCTTCGTAATCGCTCAAAAGTACAGATACTTTGGCAGTATCGCCAGGACCTTTGTGCCTGATCTTGCCAATCTGCCGGTGCATAGAATTCATTCTGTTTGTGAAAGAATGTATCAATGAGATAGCAGTTGTGAATATGTGCCACTTATCCCCACAAGATAGAGAAATGAATGAATTCCACGTAGTTGATTTTCAGATGATTAAGAAGATGATATTCAATTTTGATACCTCGCAGTAGGGACAGCTGTCAATAAATCAATTGATAAGATTTCCAACATTCAAACCCAGCCCCGTTAATGGATTAAAGAAAATTTTAGTGGAGTGAGTGTCTCTAACAATGATCTTTCTTAGAGTTGTATCGTAGGATTTTATTTGGAAAATACCACCCAGGTAAGCAGCACCAAAAAGATGTACTGAAACTCAAACCGGTTCGCGGGGTTGAGATGTATGGCCTGTGCCTCCTTAAACAGAAACCAGCCTCCCAACTTGGAGTGACATAATTTGGTTGCCCAGATAATCGTCCTCACCTACCCGGTAGTCATACGAACGTAATTACGGTTCGTTTACGTTATAATAACAATACACGTATGTGTCTACGTATAGGGGTGTCTTTTCCAGAGTGATTAAGATTGCTGAGTCAACCTTCAGTCCGTATCCCAATACGGCATTTATGAGTTAAAGTTCAATATCTCAATGTTCGACTCTCATCTGGACTTCGAATGAGAATATCCATTTCAGCCCTGTTGAATGTAAAAGCGGCTTGCTATATTTCTTGTTTCAAGGACGATGAGCCTTCTGGATCACGTCAGATACCTCAATTGATCTATGAAGCTAACAACTTGTTAAATATTCTTCCTTCCTTTTCTAGAAGGTACATATACCTAGGAATTCTAAAATGAATCTATAAACACCTCGTATGAAAGTCACAAACTCTCACAATGTTCCGGTCGAAACAGATTGAAGCGATCATAACGTACGGTATATGAACTATCTTATAATAGCATACTAGTCTGGAACGACCGTCATATTCTTGAACCATGGGTTAGTGGATTAAGGGGCTATCATTATATAAGCTAGTGGGTACCATTTTTCGGATCTATTTCCATCCAACGACTATTTATTAGTCGGTTGCTTAGTGAATATTCTACATCGAACGTCCTTGGTCCGGCTTTTTTTAGGGTTTCACATATTTGAATATAAGCAGTAAGGTATCGACTATCCTTCCAACATAGTCTGAATCCAAGCAACAGCAGTAGTATTCCAATCTTGAGGATATACAACATGAGCTGTAAGATTAGTACCGCTAGCACATACTGGATCGTCAACATTGCAGTAGTCTGCGATCTTTGAAGCATATTGGTTTTCGATGACCGAAATCTGTGAAGTAGTTCTTGGATATTTCTAGGAATTGGTCAGCACTTTTTTGGCTCATATTTTTTCCGGCTTCTAGACGATGATATGCCGTGGTTCGGTCAGCATTACTTACGCCAGTTACATTGTTGTTCCCGACATCAAAGCTCTCGTTGGGGATGTGTCTTGGGTCTCCATATAGGACTAGAGCAGTCATGCGGTCCCCAACTTTCGAATTAATGGGGAGTGATCCATTTCCGGCACCGATAATCTCATCTCCGCCTCCACCAGCTAGCATGTCTCCAACAACCATAGCACCCTGTTCGAATTAGCCTATATTTAACATCTCATAGAAAGACAACGCACTTGAGAGTAGGCTAGGAAGACGTTTTTCGAATCTTCACATAATTCTGCATAGGCAGTAAACTGGTCCTTAGCAGCCACAAGCCCTTCAGCATAGCTGTTTGTGGAAGTCTCATCCGTAGCAGGATAGATAAAACTTTCGTAATCGGTGCGTGGATTGGCATCGGTAATCAACCCGGCCAAGCTCTCCATAGTCCCGGGGTAGCTCTCAGTCGTTCCACGAGCGATGATCAAATGGACTGGAGCGCATGCAGTGCTATTGACAAGAGCTCGAGATTGATGCGCCACGCGAGCGGTTGTCAGAGCTGGCGGGAGCAGTATAAGCGACGAGGTAAAAGGGGTCAACATTATCAAAGTATAGATGAGCGATAGAATTTCAAGCAATTAACCAAACATTTATCCAGGGAATTTTTGGACTTGAGTACATTTAAATAGCTCTCCTTCAACTGAAATTTTGTACCATTCGATACCTTAAATGGCAGTCGAAACGCGTGGCAACATAACGATTGGGTAAATAGTACGCACAGTTCAAGAACTCGGTGCCTACGTGAAGATATCACTCAGGGGAACAGCCCATGATATTCAACCGAGATTCATCGCCGCTCATGAAGTATACAAACTTCAAT